ACTGGCCATTCTCCAGTCCTCGGGCACCTCTCCTGTCCTCCAGGACCTCTCAAAGATGATGGAGAGTGGCTCAGCAATGACATCCACCAGCTCCCTCAGCACTCGTGGGTGCATTCCTTCGGGGCCCATGGATTTGTGGACGTCCAGATCACTTAAGCAATCCCTCACACAGTCCTCCTCGACCAAGGGAAAGTCATCCTCTCTGTGGGCTTCTTCTCTTCCCTCCGGGGCCTGGGATTTGGGCATTGAACTATTAACCACTACCCTCTGGCTGCAACTTACCAACTACTTCCTTACCCACCAAAAAGACCACCCATCAAATGCAGATCTCCCTGATTTAGAAAGAAGGATGTTGTGGGGGACCATGTTGAAGGCTTTGCAGAAGTCCAGATAGATGACATCCATTGCATAGACGACATGACATCCGTTGCATATCCATTGCATAGACGACATGACCTTCCCAGGCACAGAGGTGAGGCTGATGGGTCCGTAGTTCCTAGGGTCCTCTCTACCCTTTTTAAAAATGGTGCAAGGTTTTCCTTCTTCCAGTCACCAGGGATTTCATCTGACTGCCATGACCTTTCAAATATGATGGAGAGTGTCTTGGCATCAGTCAGTTACCTCAGGACTCTGGGATGTATCTCATCAGGTCCCACAGACTTATGTATGTTCGGGTTCCTCAGGTGGTCACGAACCTAGTCTTCCCTTTCAGTGGGAGGGGCTTTGCCACCCTCATCCCCATATTGCGGTCCATTGACTCGGGAGGGGTGAGAAGAGAGGTTGCCAGTGAAGACTGAGGCAAAAAATGGAAGAGGCCCAGTGAGGGACAAAAGCCCCAGACCCAAATAACACCATCGGATCAGCTGCCACTTGGACACCACATGGAGAAGTCATGCAGGGCAGGAACTTAGATTGTAAAGGTAGTATTGCCCAGGGATTCCTTTGCTTGGGGTCCCTCTCCGGAGGCACTCAGCTTGAGCTGGTTTACTCTGTTGCACCACTCAATAGATTCGTCTGATGTATGTCATGTCAGAGACTCTGCTTTGGGAAACTGCGGGTCAAGCCTGAGGGAGGAAGCGCTCAAGAGTGCGTGAGAGTGTGTGTGTGTGTGTGTGTGTGTGTGAGCAGCCGAAAAGGGGCTGTGAAGGTGTGCGTGTGCGACTCCTTGAGTGGTGTGTGAATGCTTGGACAGCGGCTTCTGCCTCAACAGTTTAGACTTGGAATAGCCTTACCATCAAACCCGATCAGACAGCGGCTGAAGAAAATGGTCAGCAGCAAGATGTCATGCTCTATTCAGTGATTCCTTTTAGCTGATGGAAGAAAGGAAAGGCTAGGTGATATTCTGTCGCGGTTTCGTAAAGAAAGATCCAGGAAAGCAGATTGACAGGTACGCTATTTGCTATTTCTGCCTCCCATCTTTTCCTTTTATAGGGCGAATGGTTACAGTTCACTTCAGAAACATACCAGAAAGACTGAACAGGCAATTTAAAATTATACTTTTTTTATACATTATCCATATTTTTTTATTTCAGTGATTTTTTTTAAAGCAGTGTTTTTTGTTTCTGTGCTAGAAGACATGTCTTAATTACTGTGGTGGTTCTTTCACAGCAGCAGATGTGTAATGAATGAATATTTTCTTAAAAAAAATTAGGTAATGCCTAAGCCAAATTTGTGCCTGAAGGTGTACTTTTGTGACTTACAGAACAGTACAGGAAAGTACTTTGCTGCCAGTGTCCTGAACACTGTGCTGGGCTTTTTTCTGCCTCATTGATCTGAACAACTCTGGTTTTAGTTTCTGTTTTAAATGATGAGTGTGCTCGAGTGCTTTGAATGTATGCATTTCATTTTCTAATACAATTTGACTTCAATAAAATAATCTGCTGCTTATTTTATAGTAAATAAATGTGCTTCTCCAAACTGTGTGGAAATCGATTTTTTATTTACTTCTAGTCATTAGTGAGTGAATTTTGTTTGTCTGACAACAACTTTTGCCATTCATGGAACACGTTGGTGGTAATACCTTGTAAACATCGCTTCTAGAAAGACTGCTTTTAGAAAATACTGTGCTGCTTAGAACTTAAGTTTGAAGTCCAACAACAGGGATTGCTGAGACAGAAGTGGTTCAGATTGCAATCCAAGCCAAGAAAGGGAAAGATCAGAAACATGAAAGGTACAAATTTTCACAATAATGTAAAGAAAAAAATCCAAAGGAAAATAAAAAAGCAGGTACATACGTAAGCTTTTTAGCTTGCTAGTCTTGTTCTGTTAGTGGAAACCAGCAACAAGTCGTGTCCCTCAAGGGTCTGTACTGGGACCAATACTATATAATATCTTCATCAATGGCATAAGACAGTGGGATGGAGTTTGTGAATTACACCAAGCTGAGTGGTGCCGTTGATTTGCTAGAGGGATGGGATGCCATCCAGAGGGACCTGGGCAAGCTGAAGAAGTGGGTCTCTGTGAACATCAGAAGGTTCAACAAGGCCAAGGGCAGGGTCCTGCACATGGGTCGGGGCAACCCCTGGTATCAATACAGGCTGGGGGATGAAGATACTGAGAGCAGCCCTGCTGAAAAGGACTTGGAGGTACTGGTGGATGAAAAGCTGAAAAGCTGGACATGAGCTGACAATGTGGGCTCGCAACCCCGAAGGCCAACCATATCCTGGGCTGCATCAAACGCAGCATGGCCAGCAGGGCAAGGGAGGGGATTCTGCCCCTCTGCTCTGCCCTGGTGAGACTCCACCAGGAGTCCTGCATCCAGCTCTGGAGCCCTCAGCACAGGAAAGACATGGGCTTGTGAAGCGGGTCTAGTGGAGGTCCATAACAATGATCCAAGGTCTGGAGCACCTCTGCTGTGAGGAAAGGCTGAGAGAGTTGGGGCTGTTCAGCCTGGAGAAG